AGTGAATGCCCCTATAATTTTTGTTTGTTTTATATTTACGATTTAGTTTTAATCCAAATGTATGCGCTAATGGAGCGAACAGCAATCAAGATCATGCAACAGAAGTGCGTGCTCTCGGACTCTCTCTCTCTCTCGCTCGCTCTCCATACCGTCAAATAACTTTAGTAACTTGTGCATTGTTTTACTTACTTGCTTTTGACATATCCGACCGAACTACAAACTTTCCAGTGATGTCTGTGAGATATTCACTCGACAAGCTTGTGCATCTGTGCAGCTGTGCATTCAGAATCCACCCAGCGTGCTCTGCTTATCAGCTCGGGCACATCCGATATATAGGCGTGAATATTGAATGTTTAACATTATATTAATTACTTGCATGTACTTCATAGACATCCTTAATCTCTAATAACTCCATTCTACTCTCTGTTGTTCTGTTTTCAGTGTTTCTTTTTCTGGACACAGCTCTATTCACACGCTGTTTGGTATTGTTTTTTTGTATCGGGGCATTTTTACGAGTACGAGTACAGGAGCGCAGTATTGGACCCGATACGATACCAGTACCGGTATCGGTGCATCCCTAATTTTGGTGTTGGAAGAAAATAATCACTGTACCAAAACAGCAGGAGAACGTATCCAGCACCTCTCTCCAGCTTGTAGGATTGTCAAGGAGTCACACAGGACCAGGATTTAGCGTGCACAGGAAGTCTGACGCGATTGAGACGGCGTCAGGGTCAGCGGTGCTGTTTTGTACGTGCACCCGGAGCAGGCCTGCTTACAAAACTGACACATTTTCAATCATATCGCCGATTCCCTGGAAATCACGGAAAGGCCACGTCGGAGCATTTTATAGAGTACAATGCACCAGATGGGGATTAGTTTTCCCAACATGTGGGGAAAAAAGGTCTTTTTTTAAAGAGAATGCGTGGTGTAGGGGTAATATAGTCGGCTTTGAAAAATGGACCAAATCTTCCGCCGCTGTCTGCAATATACAGTGCCTTTACGGCCATGAAACAAAATCAAAATGGGCCTACATTGGGCCGTGGAGACACTGTGCTTTATGTGTAGGTGAGTGTGTGTGTGTCAGAGCGTTGCGTGTGGAGGTGTTTTCATTCAGTTGGTGGTAGAATGGCGACACTCTCCATACCTGCAGGGAATTTATTGTGCTAAATGAATTGTGGCCCGTAGAAGTTTGTAAATTGCAAGGCATCAATCTAGAGGAGATATAGAGAGAGAGGAGCGCGGCCGCGTTCACCCCGTCTGATATCAATCCTTTACCGTTAAAACCTCGCCTTTCAATTCCTCCCCATTCATCCTGCAGCAACCTCCGGTGTTTAACAGGGATCATGAAGAGCCCTTAACAAATAAAAGCTCTTTAGCGTTTGAGTGCTGCAGATAAATGCGTGAACGAGGCCGTTTATGCAGAGCAATTAGAATGCCACCCCTTATCTGTAGTGCATCACGCCCCAGACGAGCCAGTCGCATTGCCCCAAATCAATAACCCGGAAAATGTGTTAATGTTAAACTACTGTTTTGAAAAAATACATGTTTAACATCAGTCAGTAAACATTCTAGAGTCTGGCAATGATTGAGTAAGGCGGAGCTACAGCGTGTAATGCAGCACTGAAACGGCTTTCTCAATTATCAACATGTAAACTTATATGCTGCTTTATTTGTATTTCAAATATCAAAATTAATAGAATATATGCTGTGTGGTGTAAATATTTCTCATACTGGTTACTAACAGCAGAAAACATCAAAAGAAAAAACATTTCTAATTCATTTCATTTTACATTGCATATAGTGCCATTTTTCATTATTATCCGAGACCATTATTTTTACATTCCAACAAATTCGTCATTTTTATAAAAAGTTATCTATCTATCTATCTATCTAGATATCTATCTATCTATCTATCTATCTATCTATCTATCTATCTATCTATCTATCTATCTGTCTATCTGTCTGTCTGTCTGTCTGTCTGTCTGTCTGTCTGTCTGTCTGTCTTTTGTTCTACCTATCCTTCTATCCTCCTATCAATTGTTCTTTCTATCATTCTGTCTGTTGATCTATCTATCTATCTGTCTATCTGTCTGTCTGTCTGTCTGTGTCTTTTGTTCTACCTATCCTTCTATCCTCCTATCAATTGTTCTTTCTGTCTGTTTGTCTGTTGATCTATCTATCTATCTGCTAAAATGTCTCTCTATCAGCTTATTTAAATGTCTATTTATCTGTCTTTCTTTCTGTCTGTCTGTCTGTCTGTCTGTCTGTCTGTCTGTCTGTCTTTCTGTCTGTCTGTCTGTCTGTCTGTCTGTCTGTCTGTCTGTCTGTCTGTCTGTCTGTCTGTCTGTTGTTCTACCTATCCTTCTATCCTCTTATCTATTGTTCTTTCTATTGTTCTGTCTGTTGTTGTTTTATCTATCTATCTATCTATCTATCTATCTATCTATCTATCTATCTATTGTTCTTTCTATCGTTCTGTATGTTGTTCTATCTATCTATCTTCTGTCTGTCTGTTGTTCTACCTATCCTTCTATCCTCTTATCTATTGTTCTTTCTATTGTTCTGTCTGTTGTTGTTTTATCTATCTATCTATCTATCTATCTATCTATCTATCTATCTATCTATCTCTCTATCTATCTCTCTATCTATCTATCTATCTATCTATCTATCTATCTATCTATCTATCTATCTATCTATCTATCTATCTATCTATTGTTCGTTCTGTCGTTCTGTATGTTGTTCTATCTATCTATCTATCTATCTATCTATCTATCTATCTATCTATCTATCTATCTATCTATCTGTCTGTCTGTCTGTCTGTCTGTCTGTCTGTCTGTCTGTCTGTCTGTTGTTCTATCATACTATCGTTCTATCATTCTAGCTATCTACCGTTCTGTCTGTCGTTCTATTGTTCTGTATTATATTTCAGTTTATCAAGTATATGTAATTGTTTTTGAAATGTTTTCCTCATTGAAGTTGTACTCATAATCTGTGAGAATTCTGGGTCATTCTGGGTGCTGATGTTTCCCTCATTATGGCCGTTAAGAGCTTTTCCACATTTCTCCACAGCGAGCCATACTGGGAGAGGTCTGCTAATGCAAGCTCCTGCTCCGCCACTAGGCCCAAGACACTCCACCTTGGAGGGCAACAACATACCTCATCACCATGGTAATCCATCCCTTCTACCACATCTCTCAGTACAGCTGGAGCCAATAGAAGTCACAGATCATCTGCACATACACCAGACATTTCAACAGCACTCCAGACTCACACACATTGTCACAGACAAATAAAATTTGTATTGTACAGTATAGATGATACAGATTCAGTGATTTATAGCTTCCTCCCAAAGTTTTTATTAACACTGTCCTTGTTACATCTTAGAATTGTTTTTTTTTTCTTTTAACCATGGTCACTGTAGTTTCTTCCAGAATGCTGGTATAGGTATAGCTACTTATGCAAAAGGTGTGCTGCGTTCATGAAATATTCTGGATCTTCTTACACTGCCTAAAGGAAACACCAGATTTATTTATGATTAGTTTACAGAAGCTACAGTAGCTGTTTTAGCAGAAACTGTGGGTACTTACCATAGTCAGTTTTTGTAAGGTGTCCTCTCACTACCAGCCTAGAAATGTATATTATTCTTTAAGATTTTTTTCCTCATAGGTGTTTTTTTGTTTTGTTCATTCAAGGTAGCAATACATCTTTGACTGTCTTTCAAGGATTTGAAAAGGACAAAAATATATTATTTTACAGTAGCTGCAGTAACTGTTTTGTCAGAAGCTGTGTCAACACAGAGTCCTTTTCCCTGTCTTTTTCCCTAACTATCATTCTAGAAATGAACAATGAACACTTTTAGATTTTTCCTCATGCATGTATGTTTTCTTTTTGTTCATTCGAGGTAGAATTACATCTTTGACTATGTCTTTCAAGGCTTTTAAAAGGACAAAAAACACATTATTTTACAGTAGCTACAATTTTGGCAGAAACTGTGCTTACCATAGTCGATCTGAGTCCTTTTCTCTCTCTTTTCCCCCCGACTATCATTCTAGAAATGAACAGTGAACACTTTTAGATTTTTCCTCATGCATGTATGATTTTTTTTTGATCATCTGAGGTAGAATTACATCTTTGGCGTTTTTTTTAATTCAGTGAGCAACCCCAAGTGAGTATTTCGCCTTCACAAAGACATTCTTAATTGATCAAAAACAAGTATTATTGCTTTTGAGCCGCGGCAGCTCAAATAAATTATGCCACAGCAACAGAAATCCAATACGTAATAGGCTTAGTAAGACGAGCCGTATTGCTTATAGCTCTGATAAACGATGCCCCTTTCCAGAAGTGCCCTTCATTGTGCCTCTCGCTGATTTCCAACCAATGAAGATGAAACAAGGCATCGTGGGAAATGAAGTTTCATGTATTCCTCCGAGACCAGGCATGCTGGAAGTTTCCAGAGATGCGTGTTTGGGGAAGTCTTTGTAGCGTACGGAAATGCATTTGAGAAATATGCGGCGCTGATTATATGCAGGCGCCGCTTGATGGATTGGTAAGGAACGGAGGCACGGGGGCTCTGGGATTACTGTCACACTGACTAAAGAGGATTTATTTATCACATTCACAAAAAGCCTCTTCTAATAGCTCATCATGGGGTGTATTTAGAACTATTAGTACAACCACCCTTGGCTTCTGATACACTACCTGCCAGTGTGCATAACAGCAGATCTGCCTCCTCTGTCATCTGCGTTTTCTCTATTTTTATGTCTCTTTTCTCGCACACCGGCATTCTGTTCACGCTTTGACACTTTAGGTATGGCGCAAAGCCACTAAATAGATTTTCACCTTTTTATTCCTCTCTGAAAGCGTTCCAGCGAACAAAAGCACAATGCCAATACCATCACCACGCCAACATACTGGCATTAGATGCCCTCGCTGTCCATTAAAGAGGCGCATACTTCAAAAGCCAGGAAATTATTTAAATGGACCATATTCTACTTTTGTTGCAGTTTATTTTTTCCCTTAGAAGGCCACTTATAGTATTAGTCAAGGTGTCTTGCACCCAAAACAGTCTAAATGTAGTTTCCTGACTATTTTCCCCCTTCGGTGACCTTTAGAATTAAAGAGATAAGAAATTAAAATTTTGAAGTTGTTCCAAAATCATAAGCTGTTAATTTTTTTTTATATGGAACACAAAAGTAGTTTTTTTTCAAGGCCATAAAAAAGATATAAAAAGAGTCCATAGTATGTTTGGCTATATTGCAAGTCTTCTGAAATCATATGATAGCTTTGTGTGAAGACAGACAGAAAAAATGACAATTTACAAATTTAGTTATTTAGTTTTCTCTGCTGCAGCTGTCAAATTTAATTTTCCTGCAAACTGGCACACCGTTTTTTTGGTGCTGGAACCAATGGGGCTTGGCATCAAACATCAAACCTGTATCTTAACAAATAAGTTTTTGCTAAAATACCGGTTTGTTCCTCACTCAAAGCTATTGTTTGACTTAGGTTTATTTGATCAGAAATACAGTAAAACTGTAATATTGTAAAATATTATTACAATTAAAAATAACTGTTTTCTATTGGAACATATTTTAAAATGTCATTTATTTCTGTGATGGAAAGCTGAATTTACAGCAGCCATTAGTCCAGTCTTCAGTGTCACCTGATCCTTTCGAAATCATTCTAATATGCATATATAATAAAAAAAAATTTTTAATGAGACTTTTTCACAAGTGATGGTGTACTGTATAACTGAAGCAGTGGCTGTCTGGTTTGGTCACTGTGAGGTGTGCTTATGTATCTCAGGTTGATGAGTCTGCCGGTGAATTCCAGCAGGGTTATTTAGTTTAAGTGCTGTTTGATCCGGGAACGCCGGGCAGACTGAAATTGAGATAAATGGCTGTGTGGAGAGGGACGGCCACCTCTCTTCCCAGCATGGGGCCTTTGAGGGGCCGCAGCGGGGCCAAGGGTCTGCCGCACACCTGTCTCTCCTCGTTATGGAGTCCAGCGCTCACAGAGATACCAGCTCTCCTCTATCAAGGCTTATTGGGACCTTTGGCCCCATAAACAGCAAGACATGCACAGCGATTGAGTCGTGCACATCCATTACATGTACATACACGCGCACATTATATATTCCATCCAGCCCTGTTTCTTCTCCAACACCTGATTGGACCAAACTCGGATTGGATTCGACTGAACAGTTGGAACAGAGCATTGGAATAGCTCTGGTAAAACGTCAGATAGAATTAAAGGGTGTGAATGCCAAAGATTTAGATGCATTGGCTCGGGTTGTGAAATCGTCTAATCATCTGAAGAAACTCTTTCATTGCCAGAAGGGATTCCCTAGTTTTGGAGAATAATAAATGTTTGTGTTCTTAGTCAACATGAAACGGACTCGCAGCCCATTTAACGTGCATAATGTGATGGATTTTAGAGTAAAACCAGCTGATCTGGAATTGATCAGACTCTGAAAAGTGGCCATGATTATACTAGAAAAGATGCATATACTTTTTGCAGATGATACCAGAAAACATTTTTATTTAGCCTTTATCTGCTGGTTTCCAGAGATGTTGAATGGTACGTGGAGGCTGAAGGTCAAGATCACTCTCAAGAGCCTCTCAGCATGTCTCAATGGTAATGTTGCTTTTTCAGATGTATTATTTGCTACGACTACTGCAGCCATTAAATGTTTAAAGGGGTCATATGATGTGATTAAAATTTTTTCTTTCTCTTTGGAGTGTTACAAGCTCTTGTTGCATAAATAAGATCTGTAAAGTTGCAAAGATTAAAGTCTCAAATCCAAAGAGATATTCTTTATAAAAGTTAAGTGTCAACCACGCCTACCTAAAACGGCTCGTTCTAACACGCCCCCACATGTCTACGTCACGATGTGGGAAGATTTGCATAACACCGCCCAAATGTTCATCCAAAGAAAGAAGGCGTAACTTTTATTCTCACTGTTGCCGCCGCGGCCATGTTGTGGAGACACTGTGTTTCGTTGTGAAAGCGAAACTACTTTGTTTGGTCTTCCAAAAGAGGACGATATCTGCTTCGTCATGCCTGGAGCTGATCCGTGCTGGTCGCTGAGGAAATACATCAACTTTGCGCTGTGGATTGCCGGATCGGCTTTCACCGTGGACGAAGCGGAGTCCAGCCCGAGGTCGTCACATGTGGTTGCCGCAAGCCCTCCGGACGCTCCTCCTTCAAATCCGCTGGCCGCGCCGTTCTCAAGCCTGCCCGCCTCTGCTCACTCTAGCCGGCCTCCGCTCACTCTAGGCCGTGTTGTGTGACGCTGTTTCGTTGTGAAAGCGAAAATACTTTGTTTGGCCTTCCAAAAGAGGACACAACTAGAAATCAGTGGTTTTATTTGTGGTTCAAGTTTTATTTACAACACTGTTCCAGAACAGTTCAACCCAAATATTCAGATGTGTGCAGCACATTTTATGGAGGACTGTTTCCTGATCCTGGTAGAGTAGACTACAATGCCGGCTGTTCTGACTCACAGACTGTAAGTACATTTTTTATATTTAACGAATTTGCCAATGACAATTCAAACGCGAGTTTTGAGCAGTGTAGAGTAGCACTTGTTGTTTGTCATTTCTCCGATCACAAATGCAGACATGGTTTTATGTTTACGCGGCGCGATGCAACGCGTAAAAAGTCAGTATAAGTCATTATAATTCGTAATGATGTACCCACTGGATGCAACAAATGCCTCGTTTATAATGGGTTTTAATGTTTATTAACATTAGCTCCGGCCGGACAGGGCATCACAATATGGTAAAGGGCGTAACATTTCCGTCACACGCTTGAGGTATTCGGCCAATCACAATGCTCTGGATAGCTGGCCAATCACAGCACACC